CCTCCGGGCCAGCTGCTTGCAGCCTCCTCGCCCTTCCACCCCTGACACTGTACACAGCTATTTAGGAGATGTCTTCCTCCCTGGGGCTGCTTTCAGAAAAGCACAAAGAGGGACTGCAAGCCCGGGGAGTGGCAGGGCATCTGGAGACGCTTATTTGTAAGTCCGACTAGCTCCCCAGAGCTTCAGCTGCTGCCTTTATCTGGCCCGATAATAGACCGAAACCATAGTCTGCTCCCTTTCGAGCGATCTGTGAGCCTGCCAGGGTGGCAGCAGCCCAGGGTGGCGCTGGGCACTGCTCCAGCTGACACAGGGTGTGGAGCCACCAGCCTGCAGGCTGCCTGCCATGCAGGGACGTTCCGTCCATCCAGGAGGCGCAGGACATATCTGGAGAAGGGCAGCTTTGTCAATTGTGGTGTGTGGTATTGCCAGCCATGAGCACAGTGCCTGGCACATAGTAGGAGCTCCATGGCTGAACGTTATGCATTCAGCGCCTATTTACCGAGTCCTGTGATGTGCAGGAAGCTGTGTTTTCCCCTCCCCATCCTTCTATATGCTTCCTCCAGCACCTGTTGGGATTCCTTGATGCAGTGAGAGTGGGGAGTCTCCAAGGCAGTTGGCCTGTGAAGGGCCCGTGGGGCCAGCCCTGCCCACCGTGTCTCAGGAGGAAGCCTCAGTGCCTAGGAGAGCAGCATGTGCTCGCTCACGTGACCACTGTCATTTCCCCAGCACCAGCAGGCAGGCCTGGGGCTTTTGCACCCTCATTTTGCAGAAGAATGGGGTTTTCACTCAGGTGTTCCACCACATCTTTCAGCACTCAGAGTGCCGCGGCCACCCTGGCAGGCTCACAGATCCCTCAAAAGGGAGCAGACTATGGTTTCAGTCTATCATCGGGCCAGATAAAGGCAGCAGCTGAAGCTCAGGGTAGCTAGTCGGACTTACAAATAAACGTCTCCAGATGCCCCGCTACTCCCCGGGCTTGCAGTCCCTCTGTTGGGCGGGATAAGAGCTGGGTTTGGGCTGGGGAAGAGCAGCAAGTGGAGATGAGGTGAGGAGCAGAGGGAGGGGGCAGACTGGGCCAGTGGGCGCAGGTGGGCTCAGGACCGAGCCCCGGGCTTGGGCTGCTGGATGGCGCAGGGCGGGCTGGTGGGAATCCAATGACCTCAGGTCCTCTGTGAGCAGCCACTGGCTACCTCCTGAGAGGGCAAGCAGTGCCGGGCGGGATCGGGGGCTAATGACTGTTTTCCAGCAGGCGATTCCTCTATGTGGGGTTTATCTGCCTGGGTCATCGTTCTGCAGTCTGCACTTCCCAGGGTAATAGCAGCCTGGTCTGGGGCCTCCTGCCTGCCCTGGCCTTGGGGCCCTGCAAACAGATGGCACTAGATGAGGGAGAGGAGGGCAGGAACCGACAGGAGAAGCACCCCTGCCCCGCCCTGCCCCTGTGCTGGGTCACTGCAGCTGTGCGTCCTCAGCTCAGGGTGGCTCCCCTCACCACAGGGCTCATCGCCGCCCAGATCCAGGGAACCTCATGGACACCTGCGCCCCCCCAACCCCCAGTCCTTACTGCAACTGTCAACCCTTGCCCAAGCCCAACCCTGGCCTCAGGGGTCCCTCCCAACCCCTTCCTACTACAAGCTGTTCCAAAGGCATCCAGTTTACAGTTGAAGGTACGGAGGCTCTGAGAGCTTAAATGACTTGTCCCAGTGTAGGCAGAATTATAGCCTCCCAAAGATGTCCACATCCTAATCCCCAGAATGCGTGAGCATGTTCCCTTACTTGGCAGAAGAGACTTTGCAAATGGGATTGAGGATCTGGTGGTGCAGAGATTATCCTGATTATGTGTGTGGGCCCAGTGTTGTCAAGACGGTTCTTTCAACTGGACGAGGGAGGCAGGAGCTGAGGTGGCATGAGGAAGATGGACGGGAGACCAGGAATGTGGGCAGCCATGGGAATCTGGAAAAGGCAGGAAAATGGGCTCCCCTGTGGAGTCTCCAGGGGGAACGGAGCCCCATCGCACCTTGATTTCAGCCTGAGACAGTTTTGAATTTCTGGCCTCCAGAGCTGCAGTGGTAAGATTTATTTAGAGACAGGGCCTCACTCTGTTGCCCAGGCTGGAGTGCAGTGGTGAGATCTCGGCTCACTGCAGTCTCCACCTCCTGGGTTCAAGTGATTCTCCTGCCTCAGCCTCCTGAGTAGCTGGGACTACAGGCATGCGCCACCATACCCGGCTAAGTTTTGTATTTTTAGTAGAGACGGGATTTCACCATGTTGCCCAGGCTGGTCTTGAACGCCTGACCTCAAGTGATCCGCCCACCTCAGCCTCCCAAAATGCTGGGATTACAGGCGTGAGCCACTGCACCCAGCCAGTACGATTAATTTAAATAAAGACATACAACTGTGTTGCGTGAAGCCCCTAAGTTCATGGAAATCTGTGACAGCAGCTGCAGGAAGCTAATCCCGCCAGCTGGTAAGTGGTGGAGCTAGACGTTGAACCCAGAGCGAAGGGCTGGGTTTCAGGCTGCTCCCTTGGCCCGGTAGCTGTGCCCACCACTTTCTCTGCCTCTCGTCCCACTCCCTGCCTGTGTTTTCTGAAGGGCGGCTCCTCCACAGCTTGGTGGGGAAAAGCCTTCTGGTGAGTATGGGAGAGAGATTCAGCTCAGGGCCAGGGGCTGGGTTTCAGTTGCCTTCCTCCCCACTCCTCCTCCGACTCCAGCCTCCCACTTCCTGTCCCTCTCCCTTAGTGAGGGGCAGAGAAACATGCCTACAGCAGCCACTTTCTTGGGGGTTCATGTGGGGGACAGGTCTGTGCTGGCCGTCGGGGCTGGGGATGTGAAGGGTACTGCAGCAGCACAGCTGATACTACCTCTGCCGAGGTACCCCCAGCTGCGTCCACACTTCGCTGGGCTTTTCCTTCCTGGCTGCTTCGTCATTTGAAGCAGGGGTGGGTGGGATGAGGGGGTGTCTTTGAGTCTCTCTTCGGGGGCCCCTGATGCTCTGTGTGTCTATCTCAGGGTAGGGGGTGTCTGGGTGCCTGGTGTGGGGAGGATCCGAGGGCCCTGCCTCTGTGATGTGTGTGTGTTGCGGGGTGTCTCAGACACTGTGTGCCTCTCTGGACAACGTGTCTCTCTGCATGTGAGTGTGGAAATGTGAGCATGCGAGTATGTCCGCTGCTCACGGCCCTGCTGTGTGCCTGTGTATGTGTGTGAATTTGTTATGACTGTGTGTGAACGTGTCCCTGTGCCCATATGTGAATGTGTGTGAGCACATACGTGGGTCCTCACTCATTCCTGTGTGTGAAAACGTGATTGTGCAAATGTGATGTCTGCTCGTGCTCCTGTGACTGTGGGAACACGTGGGAGTGTATGTGGGCTCACATCCTGCATGTGAATGTGCGTGGATGTGTGAGCATGTGAGTGTGCAGACACACCCACTCATGCCCCCGTGTGTGGCTGTGGGAGTGTGCAAGTGCATGCGTCTATAGATGTCCTTGTGTGGGTGAGTGTTGGCATGTCTGCTTCCTCCCCAGTGTGTGTGTGTGTGAGTGCGTGGCTGGGGGGGGCCACCCCCTCAGCCAGCCAGCCAGCATTGCCTCACCCCGGTGACACAGCTGCTAATGACTGTTTGTCATTGTCTGTGCGGTGGTGGCATCACCTGCACTAATGACAGTCTCCCCTGCCTAATGACCTGGCTCCTGCCCCATTATTTAGGAGCCTCAGGATCACTGGCCCTGTGACCAGAGAAATGTTGACCAGCTCAAAACATTTCCCATTGGGGTATTGGGGGGTGGGGAAGTCATAAATCCCACCCCTCCCTGACAGCCCTCGGGGTGCCCGTGTGGGCTGGAATTTCAGCAGGCTGATGGCATCCTGGGTGGGAAGCCCCAGGTCTGGCCCTGCCCTCTGTCTCCGGCAGAGCTGGGCGGCTGCTGCCCCTCCCCACAGGTGCTCCTAGACCCTGGCAGGCAGCTGCACATCAGGTCCCAAAGACAGGGCTCTGCCTTTCCACCATGAAACCCCCAGGATTCCTCACCTCTGTGAATGGAGATGTCCCTTCTGAGCAGGGCTCTCTGTGCCCTGGAAGCTCTGGTCTGCAGCTGACCCTGGGGAGCGAGAGGGTCTGGAGCAGCCAGTGAACCACAGGGTCCAGAGCAGGCTGCCTGCGTGGAGGCCACCACGGAGCCTCATCCAGTCACGCCGTCAATATTTTTTTAATGATGAACATTAAATTAAAATAGCCTCTGGATTCTGGAGGAAAGCTGTCCCCTTTCTGTGAGGCCACAACCACAGCCGCTTGTTCATATTCTCTTCTAGCTTTCAATCTGCTCCCTCCTATGGCTGTTTCCCACTTATAGGCAGGCCTCCTTCGGCTTGAAGTTTACCTGGGTCTGCAGGGAAGCCTAGGACTCTGTCTGGGGCAGGAGGGACTCCTTAAAAGTGTTCCAGGTTGACAGATGCAGGCCTGGAACTGGCCGTGGGACCTTGAGCTGGGGAACTGTGGCGTCCTCCCCTGCTATCCATGGCTGCACTGGTGCCTGCTTCCTAGGACCGCTCGGGGGACTAGGTAAACGCTGTGCGTTACAGAAAGCATTCAGAACACTGCCGGCACACGGCAAGCATGCAGTGAATCTTTTTAAAGCCACTGAGCCTGCATTGCCTCCTGTCCAAAACGGGACAGACAAATGCTGCTGTTCGGGCTGTGGTGAGGATTAGTGAGAAGCCACGGGAAGCGCCTGCTGCAGAGTGGGGCAGCTCCGGCACCTTTCTCACAGAGTCCTCCACTTCTCACCTCACCCACGAGGGGCTGAGTGGGGGAAAAAGGACGGAGTGGTTGCCCCGGCTGTTTTCATTGCTGCCTCGGTGCCCCTATCCTGATGGGGCACTCCCTCACTTGCCAGCCAGGGACTGTGGCTTGCTTACATTACTTACAGAGGGATTTCTCAGACTCATTTGTGACTCACTAGAGGGTCGTGACGATAGAAAACCATCCCAGTGCATTACAGAGTATCGTTTTGTGAATGCATGTGTCTGTCGGTTGCTGTAAAATGTATTTCTTCCTGTGTGTTGAGGTTAAGGAGCTGGAGATACCTGCTCTACTGTCTCTGGGCAGGGCAAGAGCAGGGGCCTGGGGACTGCCTGGTTCTGCCTTGTTCCTCCTCTGCTCCATCATGAAGTGTGTGCTAAGTGCCCATGTGTGCTGCCCTGGCATGACTGGGTCCCAAAATGGGAGAACCCAGATCCAGCTGGGGACAGATCCCTTCCTGCCCCCAACAACCCACAGAAGTGCCCCCTCATGTCATGTGCCCGGGAAGGCCCACACTTGACATCCAAGGTGCTTCGCCATCCAGGAGCGGCTGCTGCAGGACAGGTGAGGGGGCAAGGGAAGCCCAGGCATGGCTCGCTTCCGGACCTAGGCCTGGACGATCTTCTGGGCTGAACCAACCTGTCCCTGAATGCTGGTCCTTTCCCCATGGTGCTGGACACTTAGCCACCCAGCCCAGGGGTAGGGTGAGGGCATCAGAAAATGCTTCCCACAGAAGCAGACCAGTTGGGGGTGGGGACCCTGAATGGCAGGCATGGCCTTTTTTTTTCCTTTCCCCAACACAACAGCCACATCCTCAGTGTGGGCCCAAGTGGGAGCCGGTGGTGGGTGGGGGCAAGGGGTGTTGGGGCACCCCAAAAGCAATGGCTGCCATTTATCGAGGGAGGCCTCTGTGCCAGGCGCAGCACAGATCAACTTCAGTCTTTATGACTCTCCCTGTGTTCATGTTATGGTGCTCATTTTATAGACAGCAAAGCTGAGGTCCAGAGCGGTTATGTCCACACAGTGAGTAAGTGCTAGGGCTGAGAATCAATCTCAGTTTGGTCTCTCTCTGCATCCTCCTATGGCTTCCGAGGGACATGTGTGTTACTGGGGACACAGCACTGGCACACAGGCTGGTTCCAAAGGCCAGGAGGGGGGATCTTGGTCTTGGAAGGGCTTGCAGTACACCAGCTGGAGAGGCTTCCTTTGAGGAGAAGCTGACCTCTTCCAGGTACTCCCCAGAGAGTCCCTCCCCAGTATAACCTTAGCTGGGGCCTCCCTGGCAGTGAAGGTAAGAACTTGCTCATGGGGAGAAATGTTCCTTATTGGAAGTTTTATCAGTGAGATTATCAAGAGGAAAAAATTGCAGCAGGAGAGATGCGACGTAGAATCCAGAGTCTTCCTTGGCACTCCTGAAGGGCGGGGACTAATCCTCCAGCAAAATGGGCTTCATGCACACTGGAGACTCTTACAAATAGTGATGATCGTGGCATGTGTAGCTCCGTGAGAACATCTGCAAAGTAACACGTAAACAAGGGCAAATGAGCACAGGGTAACTTGGGATCTAAGTGCCGAGGGGACGCGGAGTAAGCAGTGGAGTAAGTGGTAAGAGTTGGGTGGGGTTGGCCGGGGAAGGCTTCCGAGAGCGGGGAGTGTGTGATGGTCTGGGAGGGACAAGGCTTTAGGTTAGGACAGGCAGGGGGAGCAACCGGCATCTGGCATCCCAGTGGCATCATTCCAGAACCAGCCAGTCCCTAGGAGCCCTACGCCTGAGAAGGCTCAGTGACCTGGTACTCTGGGAATTCGCCCTGCCTCCTGGGTGGGGATTGTTCAGCCACACGCCTGTCCAGCCCAGTTGGTGCCACTGGAAAATGACGTGGAAATGTGGTGTGGCCTTGAGCCAGGTCCTCTTCACCAGGGTTGTGGCCCAGTTTTGGCCTGTGGCCCATCCAAGTGTCTTCTCTGTGAGATGCTGGGGAAAGAAAAGAGCAGGAGTGCGCTTCTGTCAAGGTGGGGCTGAGAGAGGCTCTGGGAAGCGGGATGGGGAGTGCCACCAAGGCCAGCCGCCTCCCTCCACAGGAGCCAGGGGCCAGTCAGGAGGGTGTGTGCCCTGTGGTCAGCGGCCTTCAGACTCGGCTGCATCTGGGGCGGGAGCCCGGACCTGAGGCTGTGGAGAGAAACCTCAGGTTCACAGAGCTCCTGGGTGGGAGGGGACTTGAGTCTCCTCACTTTCCTTATAGAGAAGGAGGTAGGGGCCAGGGGTTAGGAAGGGAAGATAGAGCATGTGTGTGTGTTTGTGTGTGCTGGATGGACCCAGGTTATGAGGTTTTTGATTTTTGAGGACTTCCCTTGTGGGGGGAGGCTGATTTGAGGCTGAGGTCCGAGGTGGGGGCAGCAAGTACACCCCGGCTCTAGTGCTGGTGTGGTGGTTGAGGAGGGAGAGACAGGCAGAGCCCAGGTGGCTCCCTGCAGGAAGTACAGGCCAGGAAGCAGGGCTAGGAAGCTGGAAGGGGTAGGACCTATGCAGGGAGTTCCTTGGTGGGGACAAGGAGGCACGTCTGTCTGGCTGTGCTGGAGCTAAAGGCCTGACAGCAGACAGGGAAATGGGGAGCAGAGAGTGCACCCCGAGGGCAGAGCTCTGGGACGTGTGGAGGCCTCTTCCTGTAATCAGGAGGCAAAGGGAGCCCCTGGTGGTCCAGAAGGGCCAGACAGCTCCTTCCCTGGGGCTGCCAGCCAGGCCCACCCATGCTGTACTCCAGAAGCTGTAGCCTGTCCAGCCAGGCTCAGGGGAGGGTATCTGGACCCCTAGCAGTGGTTTTGGGGTGGGTGGAGGGGCTAATTTGGGGAGAGACATATCCAGGAATTGGCTGGGGGAAGAGAGGTTGAGGCTCAAGACACAGGAGAACTTGGGGCTGGGGTTGACTCCTGCTCTGTGTGACCTCTAGGGATGCCCTGAAACAGAGAGAGAGAGAGAGAGAGAGAGAGAGAGAGACAGAGAGAGAGAGAGAGAGAGAGAGAGAGACAGAGAGAGAGAGAGAGAGACAGAGAGAGAGAGAGAGAGAGAGACAGAGACAGAGAGAGAGAGAGAGAGAGAGAGAGACAGAGACAGACAGACAGACAGACAGAGAGACAGGCATCTCTTTGGGGATTATAGTTTCTTTACAGCTGGCATTTAGGTTTGTGCCTGCAGCAGTCTCAGGAGTGACAGCGTTTGGTCACCTATCTCCTGCCCAGCAAACTTCCTGTGCTTTTAAAACAAGGGTGTCTTGTCCAGGGTCAGCAGAAAGAGATGCGGGGGAGGGACTGGCCCCTGTTGAGGCGGAGAGCCTCCCCTCCCCCACTGTCACAGGGAGGCTACTGGGGAGCATGGAAGGGCCTGGGAGGAGGGACAGAGATGGTGAGTCACTAGCTAAAGTCCACACGTGGAGGCCAGAGGAGCCTCGTGTCTGAGCCCCATGGGGACAGCTCTGTTGTCGACTCTCTCCAGCCTTCCCGTCTTCTTGTCTTGGGCATCTTGCCCAGGCCCTGCTGTCAGTACCTGCTCCCTGAGCCAGTGCCTGGCACACACAGCCATGAGATCATGGGGCGGGGTAAATTGGCAGGCCCCGATCTCCCTTGGATCTGCGGCAGGTGCATGTTGGAGCTCTGGGCCTGGCGCCTCTGTAATCTCCTACCTGGCCCCTTGCAGGGAGGTGGCTCCTTTAACCAGCTAGTTCTACCTTTTCCACCTCAGTCCCCAGGCTCCGATAAAGGGGGAACATTGGCCCAAGCCATGGCATGAAGGCCTGAGATTAGGCTTCAAGAAGGACTTCCTACTCAACATATGGGATGGTGGGATAAGGGCCCAGGGAGTTAAAACTGGGGACAAATATTAATAATAAGTATATTACTCATCATCAAGGGCTTATTCTGTGCCCTGCTCTGTGCTGAGTGCTTTGCAGGCGGTTCTCATGTAATCTTCACCTGACCTTGTAGAACACAGAAACTCAGGCCGAGCTTTGCCAGCCAGTGAGCAGAGGAGCTCGTGCTTGCTCTGAGCTTGTAGCTGTGGGATAAATCCTGAGGGTAGAGTGAAGCTGGCCACTAGAGGATCACGTGGGATCCGGAGTGCCCATCATCCATCATTTAGCATTCAGTCGTGAATAAGGCAGGGATCTGGAGGTCAAACAGGTAGGGAAGGTAAGAGCTGACCTCATGCTGCAGAGGGCAAAAGTCAGGACGCGGAGGTGGGTGGGCTTGTTTCTGTTTGGCACCTCTTGAGTCAGAAAAGCAGCACGCACATCAGAACTGTGGCAAGAGGGAGCGAGGTGAGACACCAAGACGTTCTGACTTCCAGGGCTGCATGTCCCTGGCACGTGAGGGGCGTGTCTCCCGGAGAGGGAGAGCTGCTTACCAGGCTCAGTCTGGAAGTAGGAGGATGGGCAGCCCACACTGGGGTCTTTGTTCAGGCTTGAGTGCGAGCACCTGTGTGTGCATGTGTGTATGTGCATGCCAGATATGTGTGTCCACAGTCTCGAGGCGTCTTCTGCCTCCACAGGCTCTGAGCTCCCCTGCAGGGTCTGTTGTGAGCACAGGCCCCCGAGAGAGGACTGTTTCCTTTGCTGATGGTCTGGGAGGTACATTTGGGTGCAGTGCTATCTTGATTGGGGACCATTCTTTTTCTTCAAATGTCCCCCAGTTTGGCAGACCGTGTTTTCCAATCCTAAAACCCTCACCCTTACTTTCAGGAATTTTTCTCTGCCCCTTCTCCAAGGACCCCCATTCCCTTCACCTTTCCTTGAGGATAAACGAGAGTCTAGGACTTTAGCTAGGGGTGGGCGTATCCTATTTCCTCCCTCTAACCACGATTCCCACCTTGACTTGTTTGCCCCTGCCACGTTTCCGCTTCCACAGAATTGGATCCACTGCAGCAAGTCCACACACGCTTAACAGCGCAGGTGCATGGGGAGAAGGGACTCGTGAATGACTGCATGTGGCTGGGGACAGCTCTCGGGTGCTCCTTGTGAGGTGTCATGTAGGCTGCTGGCCCTCTCTGCCCTTGGTGTCCAAGCCTGTGCCCCATGCCAGGGGTCTGGGGTCAGATTCTGTGTCTCAAGGTCCAAAGGCAACACACACACAAAGTCCTGGGATGTCAGGGCCAGGTGGGGCCCTAGAGACCACCTAGGTGCATCTATCCTTCATTGATAGGCAAGGCACCCCCCAGAGACAGATAGACCTTGCCCAAGATCACGCAGCAAGTTTGAAGGACACAGCTGGGTCCCCTGACCCCCAGTCACAGTTCTGTCCACCATGCCACATTCTCCCCCTGATTTTGACAACCTCCTTCTCCTCCCCCTCCCTCTCTTTGCTGTCATCTCTGTACTTTTCTCATGCCCTCCCCTTTCAAGGTGGGTGGGCCAGAATCTGCCCACCAGAACCTGCCCGTTTCTCAAGGCCTAGCCTGGCCCTCCTTCACTCTCAAACCTGCCCGATTCCTCCCCCCTAACATCTTCTGCACCATTAGCGACACATCCTGCTAATTCTCGTTCCCTAATTGTCTGTAATACAAATTAATGCTTGATTACTTGATGCTCTAATGACCTGGGTTCTAACCAGGCCCAATTGCTTTCTAGCTGCGTGACCTTGGGCTAGTTACTTAACATTCTTAGTCCTCTGTTTTGTCATCTGTTAGTGGCACTGGCTTTTGAGCCCGAGTAGACAGCAGAAGCCAAGACTCAGAGGGGAAAACTTCAAAAAAAGGCAGTGTGAAAATCTAAGGTGTGATTGGGGGGGGGGGTTGGGAGCAACGGTGAAGGGGCAGGGGTCGATCCGGGGTAGCCTCAGCTGTGGGGGGCTTATGTTATTGGTAATGGGGCTCCCATGAGGCTTTTTGGAAGGGAAGTAACACACCCCCACCTGGAGCTTGAAGTGGGGTAGAAAGGGTACGGGCTTTGGAGCTGGCAGAGCTGGACTGAAACTCCAGCGCCACCACTGAGCAGCGGTGTGATCCTGCACACGTTGCTAGATCTCTCTGGGCCTCATTTCTCAATCTGTAAAATAAGGATTATGGAGTTGTGGAGTTATGGTAAGGATTAAACAAGGAAAGGTCTATTAATTGCTTAGCTTGGAGTCTTGCACTTAGTAAGTACTTAACGAGAGGTAGCCGTGATGACGGTGCTGTCATCACCCAGAAGCGCGTGTCTGCCTCCTGGCCCGCCTCTGTGCTGGGTCTCTGGGCCCTGGGTGTCAGGCTCATTCCTCATTTCCCAACCTGGAAGCTTCCCAAGGGCAGGGCTCACATGCATCATCTTCTTGCTCTGGCTCTTTCAGGAAGTGATGGGAGTGGGCATGGCTGCTGAACTGGTGAGGTCATACTTTGGGGCTTCTGGGTGGTTCTGCAGAGTCCCCAGGGACCTGTAGGCAGGTGGAGAGGGAATGCGGGGTGGTGGTGGTGGTGGGGGGTCTCACTTCCTCTTGGTCACCCATCAGCTGTGTAGGGTCTGAAGTGATTAAGGAGCTTGGGGAGGTTGGTGATGAAAAGATGGCAAGCCGCTTCTCCCAGGGACAGTCCCTGGAGCCTCAGGCACTGTGGTGAGCCTACCGCTGCTGGGGAACCTCGTGGCGGGGCCCATCTCCCGGAGAGGGAGCACAGAGGTGGGACCTGAGGGGACCGTGACTGCCAGCTTCCCCTACCCCCGACTGAGTGTCTCCTTGGTCCATGAGGATGAAATAATTATGAATAATGAAATAATTAGAGTCTAATATTAGACAGGATTTCTTAAACACCTACTAGGTGTTCAGTGGTGTGCTAGGTGTGGAGGATAATCATTTGGCAAGGTTGGCTGGGCCTCTGCCTGCAGAGAGGTTACAGTTTAGAAAGGACTTCAGACAAGCGCACAGAGGATATGCACCAGGAAGAGAGGAAGCCTGGGGGCCGTGGGAAGGCTGAGGGGTGCACTTGGGCTCCCTAGAATGGCTGTGTGAAGTTTCGTGGGGATGAGACATAGCTGGGCCCTGCAGGCTGAGCCGGGGACCTGCCAGCAGTTGCGTGGCTGGAGAGCAGACCAGGGTGTTAAGAGTTGTGGAGCGGTTGGGGGTAGGGGTGGGGGATGGCGACAGTGGCTGGAGATGAAGCCAGAAAAGTACAAGGGGCTCTTGAATGCTGCTGTGAGGGATGAGCTTTCTGTCTCAAGGGAAGCTGGGAGCTGTTGAGGGGTTTTTAGCAGGGAGGGATGTGGTCAGATGTGGCGGCTGCAGTGCTACGGGAATGGGGAGGATGGGGGGTGTCTGTGGCTGGATTTCATGGAACAGGGGAGTGATGAGGGGGGCGTGCTCCTGGGGAGGGAGGAGGGGATGGAGTGTGTGGGTCTGGTGCAGGCAGTCTGAGGTGGGCCTGCCCAGGTGGGAGGGTGTGGGGACTCCACCAGGTCAGGGTTTGCTCCCCGGGCAGGGTTAAGGGAGGGGGAGGGGTGAGGTGGAGGGCTGGACGGCAAGAGCAGGTGGGGGAGCTGTGGCCTCAGCTCCTCCGGCACCTCCGTTAGTCCTCCCAGGCTGGTCTGCTCCACTGGCCATCAGAAAGACATGCCACCTCACCGAGCCTCGGTGTTCTCATCTGAAGAATGGAGTGGACAAGGCCTTTCTCCTACACACTCAGGTATCTGAATAGTCAACAGTCATGGTATCTCCAACTGGGCCCTGAGTTATGGGACACAGGAACTGGGAGAGACAAGCCCATGACCCACCAGGCCCCCGAGGGCCATGCCAGGGCCAGAGGTGGGCTCTCGGCCAGCTCTTGGAGTACTTCAGGAGGAGGTGGAGGGACTGGAAGTTCTGGGAGTGTGTCCATGATAAAGAGCCGCAAACAAGATCCCAGGTCCAAGGCCACCTCCCCTTCTCTGTGACATAGGGTGCTCTCTCAGACCCTTACAGCTCATTGGGCATTTGAGCCACCCCTGTGCAGTGGGACCAGGTCCCTCAGGGCTGGGAGGACAGGGAATATGGGGGTATAGCTTAGGCATAATGGGGTGAGGACCCTGGACTCACCCAGCTCTGAAGGTCATCAGATCTTTGCTGCTCATCTTCTGCCTCTGCAGAGCCCTGAATGGGAAGAAATGGGGTCCCTGGGCAGCAGGCAGGAGAGATTTAGGCAGCAAGAACTTCCAGTGCTGTCTCAGGGTTCCCAGCTTTCCCCATGTCCTGAGGGAGCTGCTGAGCCTGTGGGAGATGAGGGGTGTCCATTCCCCAGTTCTTCTCAGCCTCCCCCACCCGCCCTCCTGGGACACCTTTCTCTGCCACCTGCATCTTGTTGGAAGCTGTCCTCATGTGTGCGTTAGGCAGGCGGCAGGTGCTGGAGCAGAGTGCGCTGCCCATGGCTTTCTCCTCTAGGGGTCACTGCAAGTTGGGGTAAGAGTGGGGTGTCCCCGCCAGACCCGGGAGAGGGGAAAGCAAGCCCCCATCCACACTGGAGGGTCTCTGCTGCTGGAAAAGGTGCTCTAGCAGGCTCATCTGTGTGTCACTGCCTTCCATGCAGGGTAAGTTGAGCTCTGCCTTTCGGATCTCAAAATCCAGGGATGCTGAGGTGCTGGGTCTGGAGAAGGGAGGCGGCGCAGTGCAGCGGGGCCCTGGCCTGTCTGTCCTGATGGGAGACGGGGCTGGCAGGACAGGGAGGCTGGGTGGCTGGTGATGCAGGGTGTGCCCGTCCCTCTCCTCCTTCCTCACACCCACGCACTGCTCTGTCCCCTTCTGGCCCCTCTTCTCTCCTCACGTTTCCTTCTCCTCTCCTCTCTCACTCCCCTCCTGGCCTCAACCTTTTCGTCTCCCTCCCGGCAGTCCTGCCCTCTGCCTCCTTTATTTCTTCCTTAACCCCCTGCCCTTCCCTTTCCCATCTCCTCCTCCACCCTCCAGAGTTCTCTTCAACTACTTGTCCCACTGCAGATGCCCTCCCTGAGTTCAAGCTGCCCATTCTTCCTTTTTGCAGCCCCTGCCCATCTGGGCAGCGGAGTTCATCCCATACCCTGCAGGGAGACCAGGGCCACCACGATGTCCCTCTCCTCCCTCCTGGAGGCTGGCTGGATCCAGTCTGAGCTGTGCCACCTGCTGGCTCAGGTCAGTGGGACTGTGCCTCAGGCAGGCTCCTGCCCTTCGGAGCCCCGGGCTGGGCTGTGGACCCGACAGCGGCCCCCAGAGGTGAGGCTGGGAATTGCAGCATCCTGCCAGCTGCAGTTTCCTCCCTGCTGTACTCTCACTCCTGATGTCCTGAAGGTCCCACCTGTATGTCTAGGAGTGGGGATAAGCATGTGAATGCTGTGTGGACACCTGCACCTGGGCATAGTCTACTGTTCATGCATGCATGTGTGCGTCTGGTGTGTGTGCTTGATATGAGTGTGTACCTCCTGCCTGGGTGGGTGTGCCCAGGCAGGGCACAGCCAGCCAGTATCACCCTGGGGAACCGCTGTGTGTGTGTGAGTGCTGAGTGCACATGAGTGTGCAGGTGTGTGATGGAATTCAAGCTCCTGCGGACTTTATATATTTGTGAGTTTGTATATTCGGGAGCATGTGTGATAGCACAAAGTCAGGTGTTTCTTGCATACTTGGAGATTGAGTGCCCTGCCAAGTGTGTGCTCGTCTGTGCCTGGGGATGCCAGTGAGCACGGGAATAGCATGAAGCCACGTGGACAAGTGTGAGGTGGGAAGGGCTGTGGGGCCTTGCACAAGGCTGCTCATAGCATGCACCTCTGTGCCCGAGAGGGACTATCTGCCTGTGTGAGTTATGTGCACACACCTGTATTCACTGCACTTTTGAAGGCTATGAGACCCCCCCACCCAGGGAGATTTGTGATGCCATAAAGGCACGTGTGAGCAGTAAGCAGGGCCTGAGGGAAGCGGCTGTGCTGAAAGGGGACATATTTAATGATTTATAAGCTTTTAAGGAAAAGCCTCAGCCCCGTTCAGGCCCCAGACACAGTGACACCCTCCCACCCTGCTGCCACATCATTCAGGCCTGACATCAGCCAGGCACCCGAAACCACAGGAATGAGAGGTAGTCTCGTTGCCGCTGCCTCCTCACCTGCTCACCCACTGTAGGGCTGATGCCAGGGAAGAGCAAGAATGCCTCCCCGAAGCACCTGCGGGGTGTAGGGGTGTGCGGCCAAGATGATGCAGCAGTCCAGGCCAGAGACCCCTCTGCAGCCACGGAGGCCATGCTAGCCCCACCCCATGGCTGAGAGAGGGTTGTGATGAGTAGGGACACCCGTCTCTGCCTTGGTGGACTTGGGGTCCAAGTGCCCCCTTTCCCAGCCAAGCCCGGCTCCTTCAGGAGAGCTGATGGGCCTGCCAAAGTCTGCCTACTGGGACTGACTGGCCGTGAAGCAGAGGGGAAAAAGCCCTCGATAACTGTGGGCTGGAGGAATGAGTGAAGAAACAGTGAGGCTGGGTGTGGTGGCTCACACCTGTAATCCCAGGGCTTTGGGAAGTCGAGGCAGGAGGATGGCTTGAGCCCAGGAGTTGGAGACCAGCCTTGGCGACACAGTGAGACCCTGTCTCTACACTTTTTTTTTTTTTGAGACAGAGTCTTGCTCTGTCACCCAGGCTGAAGAGTAGTGTCACAATCTCAGCTCACTGCAATCTGCCTCCAGGGTTAAAGTGATTCTCATGCCTCAGCCTCCCAGGTAGCTAGGATTATAGGCATGTGCTACCACTCCTGTCTAATTTTTTGGTATTTCTTTTCAGTAGAGATGGGATTCACCATGTTGGCCAGGCTGGTCTTGAACTCCTGACCTCAAGTGATCCACCTGCCTTGGCCTCATCCCAAAGTGCTGGGATTACAGGCATGAGCCACCATGCCCTGCCCATTTTTTTTTTTTTTTAATTAAAGAAACAGCAGTTCCCAGGGATAATGCTGACTGGCCCCAGGGAATGCACTGAGGGTGAGTGGATGGCTGTGCTCAGTGCTGGGAGATTGGCCTTTGAATTCACTTCTGCCTGACCCTCACTTTCCCCCTTTTTAGGAAAGATCAGAGATCCCCTACTAGATAATGGTACCAATGAAACTCAGAGGTGTGCTGGTACCTAGCACATGGTAGGTGCTCAGGAAATGACAGGTGTGTCCTCCTCGAGAGCTGACAGCTGTCCTGAGCCCCTTCCAGAGCAACTCCTGGACCAGCTATGAGTCAACTGTGGCTGGGCAGCAGGGATCCTCGAGTTCCTGTTCTGTAGCATGAGTCAGGCCCAGGTCGGAGAGGAGGGAGGTCACACTGGGGTCAGATGATGGACCCAGGCAGGATCAGACAAGCACCTGGCTGCCACCTTATCACGATGCCTGTTGCTAGTAACTGGATCTCAGAAATTAAGGCCCTGGGGCTGAATGAAGCATTCCAGCTCTGTGGGCCGAAATGTTGTTGATGTGGGCTGTATGATGCATAGATGCTTTTCAGATAGCACAGCTTGAAAAGATCCAGCAAGCCCCTGAAGGCATTGCCTTCACAGCTGCTGCTGCTGCTGCTGCTGGGGACAGAACCCCCAGCCCTAGAGCCTGCCCAGCCTGGGGATCCCCATCACCTCCATCAGAGCTCCTGAAGCTAGCCTGCCAGTTCAGAGCCCATCTCTGATTTCTGGAGAGCCTCTGTTCTTTATCTAGATCATCGCACTCACTAGTGAGGACCCAGTTGCACTTTCTACCAGGTTTTAGAGAACATCTGAGGAGTGGACATTCCTATTTTAACCCTCTTTCTCACTCCTCTGACTGAGCAGGGTCCATCATCCCCTGCTGCAAACTGTGACTATTCAGTACAATGGACAGTGCTCGAGCTTATGCTGTGCAATAGTCAATGTTTCAGCCACACTAGGCACATGCCCAGTGCCCGGCTCCTTATCGCTGGGAGCCACTGTCTCTCTTGTTTCTTATGGCAGATAACGATAGCTTGCCCATCTCTCAGGAACTAAGCATACCGCTCTAGACAGTCACTAACATGAACGGCCTTATTTAGGAATTAGGTGCCTCAGAGAGAGTCTTTGCAGGCTGAAACATGAAGGGAAGTGTCGTGGTGATGGGATTTTCTCTTTGCCTCCCAGATGTGCAGAAAAAGGCAGTGTAGGAACACACACACACCCGAACAGAGAACCAAAGCGTTCATTGAGTGCCTGCTGTGGACCGAGCCTTCTTAGGCACTGGGAGGGAGTGGGCAGAAAAGTGAGTTTGCACAGCACTTGCCTTTAGCAGCTCACAGTTGTATGGAGAAGATATGTGTCAGCAAATACTGCTTTTCCACTTCTGAAATTTATGGGACTATCCTGGGAAAACATCGAACCTGTTAAAATACGCAAAAAGTGAAGCAGCAGCTTTGCTGTAGGGAAAAACAAACCTCAGAAACCCTTAGTGACGGGCTACTGAACACGGGTTTGTAAGGCAGCCCTCTCCTGGTTCCACTGGCAACTGCACCAGCCGGGCCCTGCCAACCTGCTGGGGAAACAGTGTAGGGAGACGGCCTAGAGGGCCAAGGACAACAGGATCTGGTGACTTAGATAAAATGAATACAAATATATATGTATATAGATAATGTGACAATACCAGAGAGCAAAAGTGCTCCTCTCTTCCCTCTCTTCCTCTCCCTTCCTCCCTTCCCCAGGCTCCTCCTTCTCTGAGCCGTCAGGGCCTGATGAGAAGGTCTTGGTCCCAGTGGAGGGTAGGAAAAGTCCCCATTTGTTTTGCTTCCTATTCCAAGCCCCAGAGGCCACAGGCGTCCGAGCTCCTCCTGGAGTGCTCAGTGCTGAGGCTCCTCACTGGAGCCTTGGCCCGCAGCCAGCAGCCAGCCCTCCCTGGCCAGCCTGGGGCCTGAACCCCTGCACGGGGAGGTGCTTGTCTGCCCGCACCTGGCAACCTGCCCTGAGACAGTCAGGATGAACAGGTTTGGCCGCCTGAACTGGCTGCAGCCTTTGCCTTTAGTAAGATAAAGGAAGAGTTGGAGCTTTCAGCCACAGCCAAAATAAAGTTTTCGGACTTTTTTTTTTTTCTCTTTGAAATAATTTCTAACCTATGAAAAAGTTGCAAGAACTTTTTTTTCCTGTATCATTTGGGAGTAAGTTGCTGGCCTGATGGCCCCTCACTCCTGAATTCTTTAATGTGTATTTCCTACAAACAAGGACATTCTCTCTCTCACATAACCACAATGCAGCCATTAACACCAGGAATTCCATCGCAATGTCCTCAGACCCCATGAGTTTTCCCAGTTGTCCTGACGATGTCCTTTAGGGCAAAGGCTCCAGTTCAGACTCAGGCATGCTTGCGTGCGGCTGTCATGTCTGGTTAGTGCTCTCGAATCTAAAATAGTTCCTCTGTCTTGATTTCCATGACCTTGACACTTGTGAGGGTGACACGTCAGTTATTTAGTAGAACATCTCTCAGATGGGGTTTGCCAATGTTTCTTCATGAATCGATTCTGGTTCTGCATTTCCGGCAGGAAAATCATGGACACCATGCTGTATTCTTCCTATGGCATCCCGTCAGGGCCTGTACCATCTCAATTTGTTCTATGACCGGTGATGCTAACTCTGATGGCTTGATTAAGATGGTGTATGCCAGTCTTCTCCAAGGTAAATTACTTTTTTTCCTCTTTGTAATTAAAAAGCACTTTATGGAGAGATCCTTAAGTATCTTGATCTTCAGCAAACTTCCTCCCACTAGTTTTGGCATCACGGATGTTTCTTGGCCTAATTATTACTGTGATAGTTGCCAAGTTCACTAATACTTCTGCGTTTATTAGTTGGCATCTTCTGCACAGAAAAAGTGTAATAAAAGAAAAAATACTTTCTCTTCTCTGCATTTATTTATTCATATTTTTATTTATCTTAGTATAGATTAAAGGATTTTTATTGTACTCATTATTTATTTTGGTTTTATTTTGTTAATTGTAATTTGTTTTTGTTAATTAATTTATTTTTGAGATCGGCTCTTGCTCTGCCACCCAGGCTGGGGTACAGGAGTGTGATTATAGCTCACTGTCACCTTAAACTCTTGGGCTCAAGCAGTACTCCTGTCTCATCTTCCAAAATAGCTGGGACTTCAGGTGTGCACCACTATGCCGGGC